AGGGACCGGGGCGGTGGAGCCACGGGCACCCGTCCCTACTTTTTGACTTTGGCGTCGTAGGTGCCCGCGTTCTTGTAGGCACTGACGTAGCCGCTGGTGTCCACGATGTTCTCCCGCCCGCTCTTGCCCTTGCCCTTGCCGCTTTCGTCGAAGCGCTCCTTGTGGGAGCCCGTGTACTTGGAGGTGTCCGTCAGCCTCTCCACGGCTCCCACTGTCTTGGCTTTCTGCGGTGGGGAGATGGGACACGGGGGTCAGGAAGATGCTCCATCCCCTTCCCACACAAGTTCCATCCTTTGCCCCACAAGAGCTCCTGATCCCCACCGAAGACCCTGCTGTGCCCCCTTACCCTGCGCAACCCTCGGGTCCCCCACTCACCCAGGGCCCTGGGGTCTCCTAGGAAGCACCTGCGCTGCGGGCAGAGCTCCACCCTCCCCTGCTGACCATCACTGCTGCTCCCGGCAGCCACGGGCTCCTCACTCACCGTGACGCCCACGTTAATGGGCTCCTTCCCTGCCACCAGCTGGCAGATGGCTTCATACGCCTCCTCTTTGCTCTTGTCCTTAAACCTCTTGGGGGCCAGCTCTTCCAGCGCCTTCTTGAACTCCTCATAGTTGATGACACGGGCTGTCTTCCCTCTGCCAGAACAAAACTCAGGCTGCCACCAGCACGTCTTTGGGTCACGCCTCCAAATGGGATGAGCTGCATCAGAGAGACCCTGACTTTGTCCTACACCACCCTTGGGTCCCTCACCTACTTCTGAAATTCAGCTACAGCTGAGTGGGTTGGGCTGGGTACAGCTGGTGCTGAGCTCCAGGAGCTTTTCAGCCACATGCTGTTCAAAGTCCGTTACCAAAAACCAGGGTGCATGGAAGTGCTCTAGGACTTGTTGCTGGTGTCGGGAGGAGAGCGCATCCATTCCTACTGCTCCCAGGCTGCCTGGGCTGCTCAGCATCCTCTTTCCTCTGGCAGGCATCAATCCTCCAGTCAAATTTGGAAAGACAGGCATAAAGCATCTCTCCCCTGAGCTCCTGGTCCTCATCTCTGGGACAGCACAGCAACCTGCTCTCCGGCATCTCAAAAACCTCCCAACGCTCAGCTCTGCCTGGCCCAACCCAGGAACATGGGAATGCCTGGACAGAGCACATGGAGGAAGCAGGTTCTCCACCTGTCCTGCACCCTGGTGTGGAGCATGAAGTGTATTGTGTCCCCAGGGAGCCTAAAAGCAGTTCCAGGTGCCTTTTAGCCCTACAAGCTGCCCCTGTGACCTCCATGGACCAGAGTCCTCCCCAAGCTTGGGCATTGCCTGGCCAGGCCCAGGGAAGGGCCACATCACATGGGGCAACCCTGAGCACCCTCCTCTGCTCCCTGTGGCACCTTCTTGAGAGATGGGAACCTGGCAGAGCCAACCAGGCCCACCCCAATTCTTGGAGTGGGAGCAGGGGCACAATCTCTGCACCAAATCTGACCTCCCACCCCCAAATTTGGGCTGGTTTATTATTAGGTCTTGCAGAAGCAGACACATGTCCCACCTTCAGGTGGGACACTGCAGGACAGCACCCACAGCTCAGTGACAAGGGGGATGGGCAGGCTGGGCACACAGCAGGGGCAGCACAGCTCCGTGGGGACCCCCACACCCAGACACCGACACCCTGCCCGTACTGCAAAGGCATCCAAGTCACTTACTTCACCTTGGAGAAGACAATGTCCACATCGGTGCTGGTGACGCTTTTGCCGTCGGTGACTTTGCAGTCTTTGCACAGCTTAGCCCAGTTCTTCCCATTCATCTCCTGCCCCGTTGCTTTGGTGTCACCGTAGATGGCGAATTTACGGAAGCTCTCCTCCAGAGATGCCATCTCAGCGTTCCCGGCCATGGGGCTGCAGGACAGGGCAGATGGGCCCGTCAGGCTCCTGCTGGCTGCTCGGCAGAGCTCGGCTGGCTGCTCGCAGGCCCTCGAGGGCAGCAGGAGGAGGAGGAGGAGGAAGGCTGGCGAGGGTGGAGGCTCTGCAGCAGGATCAGGGTGTTGGCAGCACCTGCGGGCGTGGGGTGAGGGCTGACAGCAGCCTCGGATGAGCCCCGAGGCTGAAAGCCAAGAACGTGTCTTGGGGAATGGAGGCTCTTGGTCGAGAGCTGTCAGCAGCGAGGCTGTCGGCTCCGGGGCTGGCGGGGAGTGAGTGCATCAGCCTGTCCCCTCGGGAGTACTCTCCGGGAATGACGCAATGCGTCCGCCTTCCTCCCGCTCGCAGATCAGGAGAACCGGCACGGCCGCCGGCCTTCAGCCCCACCTCTCCCCTGCCTGCATCCCCCTGTGCGGAGCTGGCAGCCCCCCAGCCCTGTGACCTGCCCCAGGGCTGGGCCAAGCGTGATGCCCTGCAGGGTGCCGAGCTGCCAACAAGTCCCTGCATCCTGTGGTGGCACTGTTGCTGCTGCCCCATCCCCTCCGCCGGCTGCCACCGCCTCGCCAGCCTCGTCCTGGCGGCTCAGCATCCCTCACCACGCACCGAGCACCCACAGCATCTCGGCAGGGACCGGGCGCGGCCGTACTCGGGGGAGCTCCAGTACCCAAGGGGGTCCCCGGCAGCCCGAGGTGCAGATCCGGTACCTTGCCG